CAGACACCCGATGGGGCACTTTTCCTCCCCTACACAACGAGGGGCACTACCCCCCACGACCCCAACGTGGGGCACTATTCCTCCCACTGACACCAACCCGATGGGGCACTATTCCTCCCACTCATGTTGATTTGGGGCACTAACTCCTTCCACTGACACCAATGACATGGCACTACTCCTCCCACTGCAAAAATTACAGTTATGAAGTAGCAATGAAAATAATTTTATGGTTGGGGGTCACCACAACATGAGAAACTGTATTAAGGGGTCGCGGCATTAGAAAGGTTGAGAACCACTGCTGTACGGCCTCCCATTGCTGCTGTCTCCATCGCCACAGTCTGCCATGTGCCACATTCAGGTCTCTTCACACTGCTGGTGTGTTGAATTTTTTGACATAGGGTGCTGGCAGATTACGGGCCTCCCATAGCTTCTGCCAGGCCCCTAATCTGCCATGGGCCCCTGTACCGCCTCCTCATGCTGCTGCCAGGTCCACAGTGTCTCATGCCATGTGCCACTTTCAGGTCTCCCTCACACTGCTGGTGTGTTGAATTTTTTGACATAGGGTGCTGGCAGATTACGGGCCTCCCATAGCTGCTGCCAGGCCCCTAATCTGCCATGGGCCCCTATACCGCCTCCTCATGCTGCTGCCAGGTCCAGAGTCTCTCATGGGTCCCTGTACGGCCTCCCATTGCTGCTGTCTCCATCGCCACTCTGCCATGTGCCACTTTCAGGTCTCCTCACACACTGCTGGTGTGTTGAATTTTTTGACATAGGGTGCTGGCAGATTACGGGCCTCCCATTGCTGCTGCCAGGCCCGTAATCTGCCATGGGCCCCCGTACCGACTCCTCATGCTGTGACGTTGCAACAAGGTGGAATTCAACCCTACATATGTTAGACCGCCTTTACGAACAGCAAAAGGCCATCACAGATTTCCTGATGTTAAAAGCGGATAAAGGTACTCCCTGTGTAACTTAGATGTCAGCCATTGGCAGCTCATGCGTGACACCTGCGCTTGCTCAGGCCCTTTGAGGAGGCCACGCTATTCGTGAGTCGGCAGGACTATGTTATGAACGACGTCATTCCTCTGTTGCACGTCCTGGAACAAATGCTGTTAATAATGGCTGGTCAGGGTGCGGTAGACGTGGCGCACAGATCTCAACGCCACATGACCCCTGTGGGGGCAGGACAGGAAGAAGAGGAGGAGGTAGAGGAGGACATTGGTGCTCAGGAATTATTGAGTGAAATGGGTGGTTTTTCCACTCAGCAGACAGGAGTGGAGGAGCAGGAGCATCTGGTAGAGGAGGAGGAAGAGGAGACAGAGGACCCAGACGCACCGTGGCAGTATGCTGTGGAGATGGAGGCAGGGAGTCCCTCGCATTCCTTGGCACAAATGGCCCATAGCATGCTCGCTTGCTTGCGTACCGACAGCCGAATAATAACCATCAGACAGAGGGATGACTTTTGGCTGTCCACCTTGTTCGACCCTCGCTACCGTTCAAAAATGTGGCCTTTTTCACACCTGCTGAGAGGGAGGCCAAAATAACGTACTATAAAAACCACCTATGTAGTCAGCTGGTCTCTGCCTGTCTGCGCCAACGTCCATCCTCAGACACTGTGGGCCCTGTGCGCTCGCGTTACGCTGCCATGGCAGCAGGGGAGGGGTGGGGTGGTAGGAGCAGTGGCAGCTCCACCAGCAGCAGCTGCCTCAGTCTGCAGTCGATGATGAGTAGCTTTCTTCACCAGCCCAGTGAGGAAACTAATAACCAGCCGCAGCAGCAGCAGCAGCAGCAGCATCAGGTGGACCTGGAGCAGGACCTCAAACAACAGGCTTAGGCCTACTTGGACAGCACCCTGCCAACCGAGGTAGACAATCCCCTTGACTACTGGGCAACGAAACTTGACCTTTGGCCCCAACTAGCTGAATTTGCCCTTGAAAGGCTGTCATGCCCGGCCAGTAGCGTGGCATCGGAGCGCGTGTTTAGTGCGGCAGGAGGGAGGTATTGCAACTCCGCGGAGGACACGACTGTCCACCCAAAGTGTGGAGAGACTCACGTTTGTGAAAATGAATCAGGCGTGGATTAGTCTGGATTTCAAACCACCAGTTCCTGACACAACTGACTAAATCCGCCATGAATCATGCCCCAAACATGTGCCACTTTCAGGTCTCCTCACACTGCTGGTGTGTTCCATTTTTTGTCATAGGGTGCTGGCAGATTACGGGCCTCCCATAGCTGCTGCCAGGCCCCTAATCTGCCATGGGCCCCTATACCGCCTCCTCATGCTGCTGCCAGGTCCAGAGTCTCTCATGGGTCCCTGTACGGCCTCCCATTGCTGCTGTCTCCATCGCCCACACTCTGCCATGTGCCACTTTCAGGTCTCCTCACACACTGCTGGTGTGTTCCATTTTTTGTCATAGGGTGCTGACAGATTACGGGCCTCCCATTGCTGCTGCCAGGCCTGTAATCTGCCATGGGCCCCCGTACCGCCTGGTCACGCTGCTGCTGGGTCCACAGTGTGACATGGGTCCCTGTACCGCCTCCCATTGCTCCCAATCTGCCATGTGCCACTTTCAGGTCTCCTCACACTCCTGCTGGTTTCCATTTTGTCATAGGTTGCTGGCAGATTACAGGCCTCCCATAGGTGCTGCCAGGCCCCAAATCTGCCATGGGCCCCCGTACCGCCTCGTCACGCTGCTGCTGGGTCCACAGTGTGACATGGGTCCCTGTACCGCCTCCCATTGCTCCCACTCTGCCATGTGCCACTTTGAGGTCTCCTCACACTCCTGCTGGTTTCCATTTTGTCATAGGTTGCTGTATGGCCTCCCATTGCTGCTGCCTCCACCGCCACACTGTGGCTCCAAACACTGGTTTTGGCCCCGTGACTGGCCAAATGAGTGAAGTGTGCGGTGATTCTAAGATCGACGGCACTCATCTGCATGTCATACTGACTGACAGTATTATTTCTCTTCCCCAGCAGACTCCAAGGGCATTTAAATTAAAGGTACAGTGTTCTGCACTAATATTAAGTCTCTCTGAAGCCTAGAAACACCCTTTTTTAAGTTAAATTCACAGCGAATATATTCGACTCGAATCTAATATTGTCCACGAATTCGCCGAATCAGTCGAATCAAATTTTTGAATACTTCGCTCATCTCTAGTGACAACCAATGCGAAAGGTATCCCATAATGGCTGAAATGCCCCCTCACCTACTTGCAGTGACCCAAATAGATGTAATACAGCCAACTCACATTAAAAGACATAAAAAAAAGATCTTCCATAGTGTAAAACCTTTTTAATCTGTTATAAACCATAGTAAAATCCAAATTTCCCACTCACATTTTGACAGTAATATATAGGCATTTAAAACCACATGCTATGGGTGTACTTGCATGGGTTTTTGGTGTAGCAAGATGGCGTCCGTGCCGGAAATACATCACCATGTTCCTACACATTACGTCCCGTTATCACTTTACTTCCTCAGGGTAACGTTATTGGTAACATCCGGCTTTATATGGGGAAGCTGGATGTCAATCATCTTACGGAGGCGGACCTCTGGAGGCCATTTTTGTGTGGTCCGAGGAGGATAATAGACCTATCCACCGCTCTTCCTCTCCTACTAATATCTCAGCTGGCTGATTGGAACAATTTTAATGCTAGATCTATATGAAAAAATGTATCTATTATTTACTGTACTGGGGATATGTAAAGGTGATTCATATTATTAAACATACGGTCACCATTTTATCGGGGCTAAAGATACCTATAAAATACTATACGGCGGCCATTTTATTGGGGTCACATACATTACAGTATGTACACCTATCATGACACATCCCTTGTGGCTGTAATAGAGGGATAGTAATTGAGCCCTGACCTGAGGTTACCTGTCTGAATCATACCCAGGCTTACTCATACCAGGCTGCTATCCAGCCTCTAACTAAATACCTAGATAGCTTCCCCTGGCTAACTAGAGGGCAGTAAAAAAATATATTTTATGAATCCCATATACTTTACAGGGCTTTTTTTGTAAGAGAATAGGTACAGGTACTCCCCCCTTCTGAGTCACCTCTTGTATTTGCCCCTACCCACCTCCAAGCAACATCCCTTGGTTCCACCCCCTACATACCTCCCAGTATGCCCCTTTTAGAGAATGATGATGTCTTCAGTTGGTAGTCAGCCAGCTTTCTGTTTTGCCAGCAATAGTACGGAGAGGAGGAGAGAGCCGGGAGGAGGTGCTGGATGAGCTCTCAGCCTCCTCTTTGTACTATTGTTAAGAAAACTGAAAGCTGTGCTGACCGACTGCTCGCCCATGTGCAACCAACCAAAGACATCATCAGTTGCTAAGGACATGTCGGGTGGCCAACACAGCTTTCTGTTTTGACAGCAATAGTACAAAGAGGAGAGAGCTGAGAGGAGATGCGGGCTGAGCTCTCTGCCTCCTCCATGGAGTTCACAGAGGATCGCTCACACCAGAATGAACAGGAAAGAGAGAGGGTAGTGGGGGGGGGAGGAGAGAGAGCACAGCCCACACCTCCTGGCCCTTTCCTCCTCCCTGCTGCTGTTACGTCTCCTGTAGGGACAGAATTTGTGCTAAGAGGGGAGGTTGTGCTGGGGGGGGGTTAGGGGGGAAGTTGTGTTAGCAGGGGGTTTTGGAGGGGGGTTGAGCTAGGAATGGGAAGGTGTGTCCTAGGATTGTGACCTGTTCTAAAGGGTGCCCTGACTGAAAAAAAGGTTGAAAAGCACTGACATATACTACTATGTCACCTGCCAACTAAATAAAGAACAAATACAGCTAAAACAAACTTGGACTCCAATCTGTTCCACAGAAATTAAAGTTTTCGGTTAAAAAAGTCCAAAGTTTCCAAAGACTCAGTAATGGTCTACCGTAACAGTTTACAGTGTATCTGCATTACAACATATTTGATTACCTAACCTTTTTTTTAAAGTCAAGTCAATAAATGAGAAATAGATTTCAGTAAAACTGGCATTGTCAGAATCGTATTTAATTTTTAATTTCATTAAATTAATTTTAATTCGGTTTAAAGTTCTGCACAAATTATCACATTGTGATGAACTGGACAGAGTCTTGTATCAGATGTTAAATCCCCTACTCATTTTTTTATTGCCCTTTGTGTCTCTTTCTGTGGCCAACAAATAACAGAAAGTGAGAGAAATTCTCCCCAAACACTAGGTGTAGGTCACAGTTGATGCATGTTTGCAGTGCATTTTCCATTTTTTAAAGTACATTTTTGCCACTTTTTTTTTTTTTTTGCAATGGGAAAGTATTACAGTTCTGTACATGTAGTGTAACTTTGATGCAACTTTGATGCAACTTTACACTCTGGCACTCAAGCAGCATCAAAGCCATTTCAAAGTAGTGCAGGAATGTTTATGTGTCCAAAGTCATGTTAGGGTTAGGGTTAAGGGCTAGGGTTAGGGTTAAATAATAGGGTTGGGATTAGGGTTGAGGGCTAGGGTTAAGGTCAAATATTAGGGTTGGGATTAGGATTGAGGGCTAGGGTTAGGGTTAAATGTTAGGGTTAGGGTCAAGGGCTAGGGATAAGGTTAAACGTTAGAGTTAGGGGTAAAGGCTAGGGTTAGGGTTACATGTTAAAGTTAAGGGTAAAGGCTAGAGTTAGGGTTAAATGTTAAGGTTAAGAGCTAGGGTTAGGGTTCAATGTTAGGGTTAGGGTTAAGGGTTTGGGTTAGGGTTCAATGTTAGGGTTAAGGACTAGGGTGAGGGTTTTAAAATGTTAGGGTTAGGGTTAAGGGCTAGGGTTAGGGTGAAATGTTCGGGGTAAAGGCTAGGGTTAGGATTAAATGTTAGGGTTAAGGGCTAGGATTAGGATTAAATGTTAGGGTTGGGGTAAGGGCTAGGGTTAGGGTTAAATGTTTGGGTTGGAGTAAGTGCAAGGGTTAGGGTTAAATGTTAGGGATAAGGTTAAATGTTAGTGTTAAGGGCTATGGTTAGGGTTAAATTTTATAGTTAGGGTGAAGGGCTAGGGTTATGGTTAATGGTAGCCTTTAACCCTAGCCCTAATTCTTACCCCTAATCCTAACATTTAACCCTAACCCTATCCATTAAACCCTAACCCTGAAATCTAACCCTAAGGTGATGACAGTTGGAGGGTTGTAGGGTTTTTGGATCCAAATGTAGAGTGATCCCACAGTCAATATATAAACCTTATTGAAGACTACAAGGGCTCTGGTTGGCAGTTTGTGGATCCAGAGATGGGTGCTTCAGGTGAAATGCAAGTACAGGAAAAAAATTAGAAGCACCAGACCATATGCTGAGAGACCAACTTCCGGTCCAGTGACTACCTGTATGTCGTTGGACTTTCAGTGGTTATCCCCAAGTGATTTCTGCAGCTGTAGGTATCACCCTGGTTCCATTTTGTAGAGCTGGCGGTCAGCTCTCTTGTACAAGCTAACAGCTCAACTGCTTGTACAAGCAGCGGGATGGGAATGCCCCCCCCCCCAGCCACCTTCTGCGGCTCTCTCAGTATCTCCTCTCCAACCTGAAGTCTCGAGCAACCATCCAGCACATCCGCCAACTGGCTGGACAGCCGAACAAAGCCAGAATCGTCTTTGATCAGCTCTTCCTTATAGTAAACCAGAAACGATGACCATTCTCAGAGAGGGCACAATGTTGTCATTAGCTGCCACAAACACAGGGGACTGTACATTCTTTCCAATTCAACATCCAGGAGTATTGCACAGATTCAACTAAAGGGCAGCAGCCACAAAACTGAAGATTCCCAACACTGCCTCTACAGTATATCAATTAAAATTACTTGCTGTGCTCTAAGCCAGTGTTTCTTAACCTTCTTTCAGTCAAGGCACCCTTTAAAATCATGGACAGTCTTGAGGCACCTCATTATAAAATGTGAAAAAACTATGCTAGTAGTTTTATACAATCCAGCAACATCCACACACGTAGGACACTCAACATTGGAGGTGATTTATTCTTCTAAAGCTAAGGCTTTGTGTAACTAAAAGGCAGGCTTGATCCACCCACTTTGGCTTGTATACAAGTTTTGGACAATTTTTAGACATTTTGACAAGGCAACCCCTGAAGAAACCTCAAGGCACCCCAGGGTGCCTGGGCACCCTGGTTGAGAAAGGCTGGTCTAAGCTATGCTGAAAAAAAAACCCATCCTTTTAGAATATACTTGTCACTGCTCCAGTCCATCCAGTTCAACCATTAAAAAAAAAAAGTTATAATCCTATACCCACAGTTGATCCAGAGGAAGGCAAAAAAAACAAGCAAGGCATTATCCAATTTGCTCCTGCTGGGAAAAAAATTCCTTCCTGATCCCTGAGAGTCAATAGGATATTCCCTTGATCAACTTTACCTATAAATGTTAGTAAAGGTCAATTTCTGATACCGTGTGTTAAAGACCAATGTCAGAACGTTGATCTCTAAGAAGCTTTTACAGCACCTACTTCAAACCAACATTCCATAGAATGGGCACTCCACAAACTTTTGTATTGCCCAATGATAACTGTTTGTCATGGCATGATGACATCAATAAATTTCATTAAACACTGTCATAAATGTGTACTTAAATAAACAAGCTATCATTCCTGCCAAGACAAAAATTTATTGTATGGCAATACAAATATACTGTATGTAGAAGTATATTATAAAAAGATGTTTTTGTCACAATAGCTTAGAGCAGGGGTCTCCAAACGTTTCAGTATAAGGGCTACATCATATATTTTACAAAAGTTCATGGGTTGAAAACAATCCCACTTAGAGACCCCCAATTACTTCAGAAGCGGAGACCATAGGCATCCTCTGCTGACCTTAACGCTCTATCTGTGCACATTGGGGACATCTCACTGACAATAGCTGTGGCCCAATTAAAATCTTGTAGCGGAACGGATGTAGCGCACAGGTCATAGTTTGGAGACGTCTGTCTTGGAGCACAGTTGATAAACTCGTTTGATATAGAGGGCGTCAATGTGGTGTCCCTGACATCACGAAAGGACCACAGATAATCGTCTGTGTATGTAATGCT